AGTTTCCCCTGGGAGCCAAGCGGATCCCGCTAGTCCGCGACTGGCAAGACTTCTTGAAGCCTGGCGCTTTTTCTCGTCCATCTTCCCTGCGCTTGGGTCGGTGGGTCAACGGAGGTTTTTCCTGTTCCTGTCGGTCCGATCGCACCAAGTACCTCGACCATGGCCGCCGATGCCGCGCACCAGCTCACGTCCAGGATGCCGCCGAGATCGACGTCTGTCCCACCTTCGCCTCGCAGGAGCCCGCGCCCTCGCCCGCTGGTGGTGCTGGCAAGGGTGGTCGTGGCGCTGCTCCCGCTGGTGGCTCCTCTCCTCTCCTGCGGGTGGCTTTGGCAAGTTCGATCCCCGCAAGCGTGCTGCCGCCGCTGATGATGGCGATCAGGAGACCGAGGATGCGTAGATGCCGGACGACAACGTACGCCAGGTGTGCATGGATCTCTTCTCGACTCTGTTGGAGGGTGTCCTGGAGGAGCCGGCGAACTCTGTCAAAATATGTGTCACCGACCACGCTGCTCCCGCCAATGGGAAGATGCTTGCCCTCGTCGACCAACTACGGAGCGAGCTTGTGGGTCAACCTGCGGCGCTCGATCAGCAGATGCTTGGCGTTGTTCGACGGAATGTTGTTGACGCCTCTCGTCGGTTCCAGGAGCAGATTGATGTGTGCACTGGCACGCTACAAGATCATGGTGGTCGTATTTCGTTTATGGAAGGAGATGTGGACGAGCTCAAGAAACAGATGCGTGAGCTGCGCGACCAGCTCGCCCTCGTTGAGAAGCGCCCCCAGACCCCGCTCGCCGTCCCGCAGGGATGCGAGCGCGACGTCGACGCCACGGTGGTTGTCATCATGTGCCACGCAGCTACCACTAAGCAGCTCGTGTGTGCGGCGCTGAAAGAGTGGCTTGGCGAGCTCGGCTTCCCCGAGTCGGACTACGACATTTCCCCAGCGGGGCAGGCGCCCTGCAAGAAGTTCACTCTCAAGTTCGGCGGCCTCGTCGCCGCTGCCTCGCGCAAGGTCCCTCGTGTTCTTTGTCGTCTTCGTGTGGATGGTGTTTGAAAGGAGTTCCACGTGGAAGTACCAGGTGCCGCTCAGGCGCGCATGCACCTCGGCCCCGACAAGAACCCTCGCCATATCAAAACCGAGATGCTGCTCCGCCGCCGTCGCTCCGTCATCCCCGAAGCCCATCCCAACCTCCGTCTCTTCAGCGACCGCGACCGCGGCGCGCTCTCGGTCGGGTGGGGCAGGATCCTTCGTGTCGAGGTTGCCGCAGGCGCTGCGCCAGCGACCGCCGTATGGGACCCAGCGGCTTCGCAGGATCACATCATGCGCAAGAACAACCTCGCGCAGCTCACGCGTCACCTCGTGGCGCCGCAGGCTGAGCCTCAGTGGTGTATTTGATGTTGCGAGGCTTTTCAAACGTTCTACTCCGGTACCTGGTTGCGCTATTCCTCCACTACGCGCAGTGACTTGGAAGGCGAGGGCTCTCTTGCAAGCGGCTGGGGCTACGGTCGCGCTCAAGAGGAGGTATGTTGAGAAGTTGAACATCGGCGAGCGCATTGTCTCTCTTCAGGAGGTTTGGCGAGATGCTGGGCAGCTCAGTGAATTCATTCGCAGCATCGACCCCGCGGAAGAATTCACGCCTCATTTTGTGGCGACGCACCCGAGGAGAGGGTGCGGGTGGTGTGGCGGCCCTCCTTCCTGCTCTCGGTGCTGTGGGTGGTTATCCTGTTCTGAGCCGTGCTGCCCCGCTGGCGGCTGGGCGTGTCGTCCACGTCGTGGTCGAGGTCGCGGGCGTCCAGCTCGACATCTTCAATGTCCACAATCGCGAGCTCACCGCCCTGCAGGTCGCGGCGGTGGCGCGGTTCATCCGCGGCGCCCGGGCCTTTGCAGCCAGAGGCCCCACCAAGCGTCTCGCCATCGTCAGCGGGGGGTGCAATTTCTCGTCGGAGGAGGCCGCGGCCCTGCGCATGCCGCGTGGTGCGGTCCGCCGCGCGGCTCGGAGGCACCATGCGCAGGCGCCCACCTGGCGCCGCGCGCTTGCCGAGCTGCTCGAGGCGGAGAGCACCTCGCCCACCCTCAACGAAAAAGCCAGCAACTCTGGATCGTGCGTCGATCGTCTCTTCCTCTCGTGCCCTGGGTGGACGCTGCGCCAGTTATTTCTCCAGGTCAATACTAGTGGCACGGCGGCTGAGGTATCGGATGCTCTTGTTTCGGACCACGTCGCGGTTGCTCTTGCTATCTCGTCGAGGCGCCCCCGTCCCAGTGACAAGCAGCCGATGGGCCGTCGTGTGTTCCAGGACTCGTTCTATCGTCAGCGACTGCGTGCTCTCGTCGATTGTGCCGACCCACCTCGCCCCCCCCTCCTCGTCGCCTCGAGCGGTGCAAGGAGCTGGTTCGCATTGCCGCCTGTGAGACCCGCGATCGTCTCTTTCGTGCTCATCTTCACCGTCCGCGTGCTCTCCTGCAGCTTGCGCGTTCGATTGCTCGGTGCGTTTGGACGCAGGACATCGCTCTTGGGGAAAACACCACTCCGCTCTCATATCGCGGCGTCCGGCTTCCTTGAGGTCGAGTGTGGCGCGGCACGGTTGCGCCGCCCCAAATATTTCCAGGCCGGGTCTAATCGTGCCCAGTGTGAGGCGGCGGATGTCGCGCGAGCCGAGCTTCGCAATCAGTGCGAGGCCGAAGGGGAGTCACCGGGCCCAGCTGCGCGCGCTGGAGAGGCGTGCGAGGATTTGGTCTCCGCTCAACCGACGCGTCTCGCCGCCGCGGTTATCTCTGCGGGCCCCTCGCCCGCGCCCGCGCCCAAGGAGAGGCTCGCGCGCCTCCGTGAGTTCCGGGCCCCTGCATTCTCAAAGAAGTCGTGGGGCGAGACTGCGGCGACACCTTGCGTCCGTGTGATGCCCCCCCCCCCCCCCTTCGGGGGCCTCGTCCTCCCGCCCCCCTCGTTCAAGATGATGAAGTCGGTCCTTGCTCGTGCTCGACGATCCTCGGCCGTGCTTGGTGGAGATGGGCTCCCATATGCGGCCTGTGCAGGCCGATTGTGTGTGTGGTCTCGAGGTCTCTGGGTGTGCCTCGAGTGGGTCTCACGGGCCAGGTGCTTTCTTGATGCTGCTGAGCACGATCCGTCCAAGCCCCCCCCTCCCCCCCCCCCCCCCCCCCCCCCCCCCCCCCCCCCCCCCCCCCGGAAAAAAAAAAAAAACATAGGTGGCGACGAGCTGCAGAGTGGCTCGCGCACGCGTTCCCCCGATTGAGTTTGCGCCTTGAGCTCCGTAATTTGCATGTCAATGTGCTTTCTGCTACTATGAACCTATCTATGCGACCTGTGATTGCTCGCGTTGTTCCTGCTTGTCAACGGGGCTTCGTTCCCAGGGGGATCTCTGGCCTGAATGCGTTGGAGCTGGGCGCCACCGGCAGGAAATGTTCCCTCCTACCGTCCTGGCCCCAGGACATCCCGATCCTCTTCCCCCTGGACTTCGGCCCAGCCTTCCCTCCCCTGAACCAGGACCACCTCGTGCTCGTCGTCTCCTCGCTCCAGCTGCCGCCCGCCTTCCTGGTCTTCGCGTCATTCCTATACTCAGCTATCGAGGGTATTGCAATGATGGCGGGGCAAAATGCGCGTCTCAACTTGGTCCGCAGTGGGATTCCAGGGGCGTGCACTACCGGGCTCGCTCTATGCGTTAGCTTCCTCGCCCTTCCTGGTCGACTTGGCCACTCGTATCGACTCGCAAGGGTCTGGGGTTATTCGCGCGCGTGCTCATGATATTGGCGGGGCTCTTAGTGGTGCCCAACATCTGAGGGATATCTACTGTGTGCTGACGATGGCTGACCGATTTGCGAATCTCGCTCTTACGATACAGAAATGCAAATTGGCACCGTTATCTGAAGCCTTCAGTGACAGTAGGGGGCGACGTCTTCGGGGCTGGTTTGAGCGCGTTGCCCCAGTTTGGGCCTCGCTCGGTGTCTGGCTTGGTCCTTCGGTTGATCCTGACAGGCTCTGGAAGGGGCCCGATCACCAAACTTCGGCTTCGGGCTCGCGCTCTAAGTGTAGGCCTCGCTCCTGCTTCGACGTCTGCGAGCGTTTACAGTTCAAGAGTTATCACAACACTCTCTTACAGTGCTGAATTCTGCTGGCTCCCTCGGTCTGCCCTTCGCCTGGAGACGGGCGTTCTAGCACAGGTGTTTCGAGTTGCTCTCGGCGCTTTCACGGCCGAGGCGTGGTCCCAGATCGAGAAGTGGAGCGGGCCGGGGCTTGCGTCCTGTATACTAACCGTTCAGCACGACATTTCTGATCCCCTTTTTACCCAGGCCGGGTAGAAAAGGAGTCCCGTCTTGGTGTCCATGCTGTCGCGCCACGTCGAGGTTTCAAGATATGCCTGGGGGCGCTGCCCTCCCACAAGATGGCACCTTGTTTGGTCTCGGGGTGTCCGGGGCCCACCATCTGCACATATATTTGTACGTCGTGTTTTATATGTATACATATATGCACGTATGCATTATATATGTATATATGTGTGGGAGGACGAAGCTGGTCACATGTGTTCCTTCTTCTTCCTTTCATCTTTCATAGTCTCACGTCTCTTGCTCTTCCGCCAATCTCTTCACCCTTCTCTTCTTCATTATCCTTCACATTATCTTTGACTTCCTCTTCCTCCTATTTTTCCTCCGCCTTGTCCTCATCGTCCTCATCTGTTTCCACTCTCTCCTCCTCGTCCTGCCTCTTCCCCCTCTTCCTCACTGTCCTCCTCCATATTCTCCTCATCCTCCTCTCCTCAAAAGACTTCCACGACGCCCAAGACGGCCCCGAGACTCCTGGCCTTGCCCCGCTCGTTGAAACCCCTTTCGGGGGAAATCCGTCCGCCCCAGGAGGCCTGGGGGAGGGCCGGGGGGTCTCAGGAAATCTCGAAAGATCCCGAGAGCTCGTAGGAGGGCTCAGGATGATGTAGAATAAAAACCCCAGACGGGGCATTTCCGTCGTGGCTCAGCAGCGCGGGAAAAGGGGAGAGGGGAACATACATGGTTTTTTGTTTACGCAAGGGTAAACAATGCGATGGCGATGAGAGCGAATAGTACATGAATGATACAAGAGAAGGAGGAGAAGAGGACATAGCCAATTTGAAATCACTTGCGGATGGCGTTTTTTTTTTGTCCCCGGGCCACCCGAAAAACCTCCGCTCCCCGACAAACACACACACACGCACACACACACACCCACACACACACACACATACACACACACATACACACATACACATACACACACCAACACACACACACACGCACGCACACACGCACGCACGCACGCACACACACACACACACACACACATTCACACACACACACACACGTACACACAGTAAACACGTACGAAGCAATAGTCGATATAGTTGTAGTAGTATTAATAGTTGCTGTCTTGTGGATGTTGATGTAATAGCAGTAGCAGCGTCAGTAATGGCCGAATCGCAGCGACATGACTTCACGTAGAAAACAAACCCACTTGCGCCATATACCCCGCCGGTATCTGGCGCAACCGCGTCGTGGAGAGTCATAATTTCGATGTTTGCCTTCCGTGTGAACTCTGTACTCTTTTAGTGTATTGGCAAATGCATGATGGTCCGATTTTGTTCATTCAGTAACAATTGTACCGTTTCCTTCAAAGGAACAAATCCACTTGCACGATATACTGCGTTATGTACATATTCGTAGTCACGTTAGCCTGTTACTTTGTGTTGCTTCTATTGCAAATCTAGCCGCCGCGGATATGCCCAGGATCCGAATCTCCAGTTGTATTTTGTCGTGCGCCATGGCGTACGGATTTACTTACTTTGAAGGCGGGGCCGCGATGGGGCCCATGCCTAACCTGCCTCCTTCCATCGCTGGGAGCAAACTAGGACAGCGCAAACAAGATCGTATTGCCAACGGCGAAGATTCGGGGAGTGTTGAATCTCGAATACATCATGCTTTACAGTATCTTCTGGTAATATCAATACGTTTTCGCATTATCCCTCCCGTGTGTTTACCTAGAGGACAATATTTGGATTTCGTGCAACTTCCAGTGCGCCTTGAAGAAGTGGAGCTTCCAACGCTACGACGGTTATTTGGGATACGTTATGTATACATACCATTGTATCGATTTTGGCCGTTGTTCGGTTTAGGTTTAAACAAGGATTTGCGTTCGTGCCCCCGCGGGTAGACCGAGGGGCAAGTTCGCGCTTCTTGAGGCCAGGAGAGCTCGGCCAATTCGGCGCAACAGCATAGCTAGCGTTTCCATCGGGCAGATCACGGAATGGCTGGCGGTCCGCCTTTTCCGCACTGTTCAAATGACTGCCGTCCTCGTGATCTTTTGCCGGTGCACGCACCAGCTTTCCGTGCGGGTTACGGTGGAGCACCCGCAGAACCTGATGCAAGTTCTCGACCAGTACATTGTCCACTACTCCAATGCTATCTCGTCCGTCACGGTATCCTTTTTATTTTATTTAAACTTTCAGAACAGGAGTAGACAGCAAGAGATGCATGAACCCCATCAATCTGCTGTCTGCCTACATTAAAGTCCATTTTTTCAGAAGAAAAATATAAAGGCATACGTTCGGCAGGAGCTGGCCTTGCCAGATCATCGGCCCATCGAGCTGAATATCAACCAACAGCAGGTGAGCAATGGCAAGCAGGTGGCTCCTTGCTTCAACCTGGGTCGGAAGCGCCGCCGCTGAGCCGCCCTTGCGCGCTGCCATGCGCGTGAAAGGCCAGGCGAACTACAGGGGGTCGGCCGAGATTCGGGCGGCGGCGCCGTTTCCAGACGGCGTTGCCAGGAGACGCATTTTGACAGCAAAACGGCATCTGCGGTGTCAGCAAAGAGGCAGTCGGCCGCCATCGGCATGTGGCCCGTAACCAGCGAGGCGGCATTTGCGGTAAAGGCGGCCTTTCAATTGCACTTGCCAGAGCGAGCTCTACAGCAGTGCGTTTCCGTGGAGTCGGATGACCCGTCGGCGACGACGTTTGCCGAACTCAGGCAAATTATGCCTCAGCTGAGATGTTTGTGTCTAGGCCCGGTTCATCTCGCATTTGTTTATAACAGGGCGCGCGGGGGAGGGCGTTCTCCAGGCCGAGAAATTTGGCAAATATTTTAAATGAGTGTCATAAGGCGAGCGCAGATCTGAATTGCGCCGCGCGG